TCAGCGCCGACCGCGAACCTTCTGGGAGATTACAGAAGGATAAGAGGGTGCCGGACTGTGTGATCAGGCAGCACACCCTCTTACTCTGCCGTACTATCTCAATGCAGTAGCGGTCTACGCCGATCAATACCCGTCTGTGGTAGCGTGCCCGTAGCACTGGAATGGTAGCGCACTATAGCGCGTTACAGCGCGTGACATCGCGATATCGCAAAGTCTGAGCGCTGCCTAGGGAGGCGGCCTGCGACACCGCGCACGCACCGACCCACGCCGCGCGCGGCATTTGCACCACAAGTGCAAAAAAGGTGAGTCATCGTGCGTCGCGTGCACGGTGGTATCATGGCGCCTCCAGAGCTATACCCTTCGAGAAACGCTTGCTACCCTCCTACACCCGACAAGTAGAAGCCTTTGCACCTTTCCTAACCCTGCACCGAATATGTCTACACAAATCTCAGTTTCAAAATTACTTCAAAATTCAGGAAAATTCAGTCGATTCCTATCCATCAGATGTTGGCACGATGAGAGAGTTTGTTCCATCAGCTCACTGCACTCCGAATTCTCTACGATCAGCCAGAACCCAGGAGACGTTAAGGTCGAACGGCAATATCTACGAACCACAGCAGCAGATGGTCTTCATGATGCCCATGCAAATGAGTGGTAAAGTTGTAATTTTATTTGCTTACTTCAGTTTTCCTCTTTTTCTAAATCCTCGTATTACAGCGTCAAATGGTCAAATGATGCCCGTTCTAATGGCTCCAGGAGTGATGGCGCCGTCTGTTGGCCAGAATATGGTAAGTTTTAAGAGTGACTCCTGAATAGCATCACAGTACAATTACATCCTATTCAATGTCTTTGTGATTACTACTATTGACTTACTTACCACTTCAGAAAACTGAGCTGAGTTAGAGAAAACTAGACGTTGTTCCGGCTTGGGTGGGGAAGGGGGGGGGAGGGGAGGGTTTTGCACACTTCGTTAGTTGTTTTTGCAAGTTCCTGTCAAATTTTTTGTCTCACCCTTATAGGACCTAGACTCTTGCTTGTCAAGTGCACCCGATGCTCCTGCCATT